AACCACATTTGCCAGTGCTTTAATGAAATTATATGGATGTCTTTATAGTGCATTATTTCTTTTAAAAAAAAATAAATAAAATAAATAAATAAATACACGTTTTTTATTGTATTTATTTATTTATACAAAAAGTAATTTTCTCCATTTTATTTTTTGCATTATTCAAATCAACTTAAATATGTAATTATTTTACAGATGGTTGGCAAGATTTAAAGGAAAAATTATGTACATTAAGGACTAAAAGTTATTATTCTTATTTTACAGATTTCCTATTTTGCAAAATTACATATATAATATCTTGTGATTTTTTTAAAGTAATAATTTACATATTGACTATAAAAAACAAAGCAAAAAAAAAAAAAAAAATCAAACAAACAAACAAAAAAAAACACAGGCCAAAAGTGTACGTAATGCCCACATCATAAATCAGTATCTTTATGAATGGTAATGTGGTCTTTTACAACCTTTGACCATAAATTTACTGTATTTAAATCCACAGATATTTAAAGATATTTAGTTTGGGATTGTTATATATTCTACTGTGATCTTGCAGGATTTAAAAAAAAAAAAAAGAATTAAATTTTTTTTTGACAGTACGTTAATTATTTGATATAAATAAACTGTGAGGAGGAAATGTGTGGTTCTCAGAAAAGCAGGTGTGACTCCTCCCATGGAAATATGTCAACTATGAGATACTTTCATAAAAATGAGGAATGCATGGCACTGTGCTGCCAGCAGCACTTTACAAATGTAAACTGTTATTTTACAACCAGTGACCAAAAAACGAATCTAAAAATGCTCCTTATTTTGCAGATCTTTGCGCTTATTTTCAATTTTTGTAGCATTCCATCAATATGTTTTTAAAGATGCATATTATTTGTATTACTGATTGAATATGAATAAACTTTGTGAGGAGTCTGGCCGTGCTGTCGGTGGTATTTAAGGGGTGCAGGTGTGACTCCTCCCCCTGAAACACTTCAGCTATGAGACATTCACATAAAAATAAATAATACACGGAGTCATTCGGCATGTTCACGTCGTTTCCCTGCACTCGGTCCAGAAGGATCTGCTCTGATACGCTGCTGCTCAGTCTTCACCCCGACTCTCCCACACCGTCCAACCCACACACATCAGCTGAAACTGGATCTGCCTAATGGTCTGGAATACCCCTGTTTGGGCTGATCATCACTCCAATTTTCTTTTCAAATGTGCAGTTTTGATAAAACCGCAGGCCGGTGTGATGTGACGGGGGGGAGCTGGAGAAGGAGGAGGGTGTAAACATTGGGGTTGCTATGGAGGCGGCAGCATTAAAGAAGTTGCGAGCGAGGAAAAGCCAGTTTGTGTGTGTGTGTGTGTGTGTGTGTGTGTGTGTGTTTTTTTGCAGACTTGGAGTTGACCTTCTCACCACAGAGGATGTGGGAGTGAAGGGGGAAAGAGACAACTCTGCTCTTCGTGTCTTAAAAGCAGCCTCTCGATCAGATAAAAAGACACCAATAATAAACAGTGGAAGAATCTGGGCTCGTTGTACCTTTGGATGCCTTCCTCCTGCATGAAGAATGTGGAGGAAGCCTGTTATCGTTGCTCCGTTATCAAATACTAATACAGCAGCTGCAGGCCCTCACATATTTCTGCCACTCAGGGCTGCAGCTCGACCATTTCCTCATTTTTGGCTTCTCTAATTTATGCATCTCTACCCTTCTGGTTTCCCAACAGGCTGAATCCAGTGGAATAATGCTGGTTTGCTTTGAAGCTGAAATAGCCCTGGGCAGAACCAGACTGACCGGACCCGGCTCACTATGACTCCACAGTCTGTCTGCGAACCCCGAACCTTCACCCCTGACACCGGACAGACTGCTGACGTCAGCGTTCACAGGGAGGCGGGAGGTTGTTGGGTTTGACGTCGGGGTGAGCGAGAGGCCACGTTCACCCAGGAATGCTCTTAAAAACCGAGATAATCAGCCGCTCATAACAATGCTCTCAGGTTTTATCTGTGCAGGCGGCTACATGGGCACTTTTGTCCTCTGCACTACAAAAAAAAAGAAAGTCATTTTTACAACTATTGACTGTTGCTCTACAGATTTTCAGTTTTTGTTAAATTACAGAAAATGACCAGTAAAATCACAGAAAAAGGTATAAATTTACATGTTAACAAAACTGTAAAATAATAATAATAAAAATCTACACATGCAAATTTGTTCTTTACAATGTATGACTATGAAATTCCCTTTTTTTTTTAATTTTTTGTTTTTTTACAGTTTTACAATCAGGAAAACAATTTACAATTTTACAGATATTTGCCTTAATTTTATAGAAAAAACATGTTTATAATCTTTTTTTAAAGCAGTTACGTCACAAATTTTCTCCTGTTTAAAATACCTTAAATAAATATTAAAATTAGTTAAAAAAAAACAAAAACTTTACACTTTAAACCAAAAAAAATATCTGAAATTTAAGGATTAAAAATAAAAATAAAATCATTTTCTTAATTGTTATTTAACAAATTGTTCCTGTTTTGTTAAATTACAGACAACACTCAGTAAAATCACAAAAAAATATGAATTAAAAAAAAATCTAAATTACAATATATCATTATTTTGCCGATATTTATCAGTATGTGATAGAAAATGTGAGTATATTACGGACTAAAAAATGGTCGATTTTTTAAAGGATTACAGATTTTCCCAGTTTGTTAAATTATGCATCATAACTAATAAAACTGCAGAAGAAGTATTAATTTGCATACTGACGGTAAAAACAAGATGATAAAACGAGCCAAAGCTGTGAGTATTGTTCACATCAGTTCATATTTTTACAAATAGTAATTTATTCCTTTACAGTGTTTGACCACAACATTACACAGTTTTTACAGCATTTAAATCAGCTAAAAATATCGTGTTTCACAGATATTTGTGGGCATTTCCCTCTGTATTTACAGTTTTTTAGCATTACAGTATTCCACTGTACTTTTTTTGACACCCTTACTGCCGGATTTTGACTTTTTTCCCTTCAGATTTTTATTTACAGTGTGTTTTACCTCTCCTCACCCTGTCTCTCTCTCTCTCTCTCTCTCTCATTCATGCTTCATCTCTTTTTCTTCTTTTTCCTCCTCTCTCCAGGGCTTTTGGCCGTCTGTCATCGTCTGAAAGAGCATCAGGTTCTCTGGCAGACTGTGCAGAACTCAGGGGCATGGAAACCGCCCAAACACTCGCTCATGCACACACTTGAAGATCAGCCCAGCGTGAATAAAAAGTGTGATACAACCCAAACAAACACGCGTTAACCTGAACGCCGCCGCAGCAGCACCGAGCTCCTGCAGGAAATTGCTGAGGGCACAGGAAACCCACAGTTGAACGTGGGTTCTCACGGTGTGTTAAAGAACCCTGACCGGGAGAACAGCACTCAGTGGTACCACATCCAGAGGCGAAGCCAAGAGCAGGCCACGGCCAGCCAAGTGCAGGAGGTCGCTGGAGCCATGGCATCGGTTCAAAAGGTCTCCGGGGACTGATAAAGTCCATAAAAAAAATCAATCTGGCAGCAAAGGTGCCAGAAAAAATATGTTAAAACACTGTGGAATAGTGTAACATTCAAAAACAGTATTTAAAAAAAAAACTGTAAAAAAAAACAACAAAATAAAACAAAACACAAAAACAGTATAAAAAAAGCAAAAAAGCAAATATATGTAAAATAAAACTCGTTAGCAGATTTCGATACAGCAAAGCACGACAGCTTTACATTCAAACTAACTTGTAAAAACACAGACTTCTGAGTCAACATTCAAGGAAGTTTATCTGTCATGCCAGCTCACATTCACATGTTCTAGTATGAAATAAATATTCAGGTCCCGGTTTTTAAGAAAAAGCCTCATAAATAATAAGTAAAATGAAAACAAGAGCAAAATATAAGTAAAAATACAACAATGTAAGTGTAAAGAGTAAAGAGTGGGCCGATGTTATGAATAGTTTTAGCTTATTTTTTACAGTCAGCATGTAATTTGGCCAGGACGCCCTTGTAAAAGAGGTTTTTAATCTCAGTGGGTTTTTCCTGGTTAAATAAAGGTTAAATAAATAAAAACATAAAAATAAAAATAAATTCACTTTCCCCCTCTGTAATCTCACTAGATATTGTTTGTAATTTAGAAAAATTAGGGAAATTTGTACAATAACAAAAGCAAAAAAGATTATTATTATTTTTTTTTTAGCTCATTAAAATGCAGTAAAACGTTGTAATCTTTTGTAAAAGGGCAAATTGTCATTTGTAAAAACACAAATGTGGACTGATGTATCGTTTTCTTTTACACTCCACACGTAAATCAATACACTTTTCTGTGATTTTATTTAACACATAACGGAAAACCCTAAAACAAAAGTTAAAAAGTTATTTACCATTTCCAGTCTTATTCTGCATATTTTCCTTCCACATAATGACAAATATTTGTAACATCATAATTGTTTTTCCTGATTTAAATACTGTAAATCAATGGATTTTTGTTTTTGCATTTTTAGCTGGTTTAAATCCAGTAAAACAGTTTTAAGTCATTCAACTTTGTTGGAAACATCTAAATTATTACTTGTAAAAATACAAATGTGGACATTATTTACAGTTTTAGCCTGTTTTTTAAGGGTTTACATGTAAATTAACACTTTTTTCTGTCATTTT